AGAAAATCAAACTTCCATCAAAGAGAAGCAAGTGAAAGACTTTCATAAAAATTCTCACAGAATCGAGAAGGAAGTTATACTCCCTAGACTAATATATATATATATATATATATATATATATATATATATATATATATATATATATATATATATATATATATATATATATATATATGTAGAAGTAAGTTCATGCGAAAATATAAATATCCTGCGAAAACGCGAAAACAGATTTTATCTTATGAAAATTAAACACATGTACTATAAAAAAATAATTTATTAGCAATAAATTAAAGATAGTAAGTTTGAATTGGATGATGTTATGGTAATATAGATTTAAAGACGGTTTTTATAATTATATTTTTTTCACGTCTTTAATCATTTTTAAATTCATGTTTTCATGATAAAAATGTTAAAAATCATACTTTGCTAATATGAAACAGTTTATCATCTATCATCGATTATCATCATGTATTTCAAAGTTTGGATGAATTATTTTCCAAAATATAATGTTGAGGTGATATAATATCATAAGTTTTTCTTGTTTTCGCGTTTTCGCAAATTATTTGCATTTTCGCATGAACCCTCCCCTATATATATATATATATATATATATATATATATATATATATATATATATATATATATATATATATATATATATATATATATATAGTGAGTTCGTTTTCATGGAAAATTTTGTCCGAATAAACAGAACCATACCAATTCTAATAAAAAATTAATATTTTCAGACTATATTTTAGAAGTGGTCGATGTGTTTGTATGAAAGTTGTACTCCCTAGACTAATTTATAGAAACCAAATTTTGCGGTTTGGTTTTTCAACACAAAAACCAAAATTGAATTATTTTTTAACCAACAAAAATTAAACTAAATCATAGAATTCGAAACAAAATGGTTTTTCAACATTAAAAAAAAAACAAAACTAAATCATAGAAACCGAAACCAATTGATTTTTCTACTAGGGCTGGCAATTCTCGACACGACACGCAACACGACACGAAATAAATGGGTTTGGGTTGAGTTTTTCAACCCGCCAACCCGTTTATTAAACGGGTCATATATATGTTTCTCAAAAAATAAACGGGTTGACCTGCCAACCCGTTTATATTGTTAATAAAAAAATTATTATATTTTTAAATGTATTTATGTATCAAGTATTAATATTTAATAAGTATTATATAATATATACCATTTATTCATACACCATTTGATTGTTTTGACATTATTACTCGTAGTGGATGATCTAAGGTCATAAGTCGTAACCTATAAAGCTAAGTCTGTAACACGTTTCTATGAATGTTTTTAATTTTCATTTGGATGTTTAAGACTTAAATATCTAAAATTTGGACCCACGAACCCAAATCTAACTTACAAACCCGCCAACTTGTGAACCCGTATAAATAAATGGGTTGGTGGGTCATATATGGGTTTATGTTCTAAACCCGCCAATCCGTGACCCGTCAACCCGTGATCTGTATATTTAAATGGGTCGTGTTTGGGTTGGCATATTTGACCCGCCAACCCGCGACACGCCAATCCGAACACGACACGATTTCCAGACATATTTTCCACACAAAAGAAAAAGAAAAGAAAATTGAATTTTGCGATTTGCATCGACATATGTTGATATAGAGTATGTTTACAGAGGACAAAAATTATAAATTTTGATATATTAATTTTTTTTCAATAAAAATAAAGGAAATATTGAAAAAAAAATCTCAATATTTTGATTAAGTTTATGAAAAAATCTCAAATTTTATTTTGTTAACAAAAAAAAAATCTCAAATTTTATTTTGTTAACAAAAAAGTTTCAATTACCAAATAAAAAATTCAAATTAACCTTTTTTTACCAATAAACTATTTTTTACCTAGCTAATTCGATAAAAGTCTTATTATTTGGTTCAATTCATGATTTTTTTTTTTTACTTCAACTCTTTTACCTTTTTCACCAAAATAATCTAAAAATTTCTTGGTTGAAGTTATGAATAATATGGATAAGCAAAGACTCATTTATTCATGTTTGTGATAAGCAAAGATTGTTGTAAACATTTTTTTGTATATAATGACAAAAAACCAATATATTGTATTTTTTTTTTTGTTTAACGGCCCAATTTTCATTTGTACTAAAAAAAACTACCCATTTTTATATCATAGCTTTGTCACGTCGACTATGACCTGCATTATTGGTGGTTAAACTGAACTTTTGGAAAAATAGTGTTTTTTTCGTAATTAAAACCGACTCTAATTGGCAATAGTGGTTGTGCTACGACGTTTTACCAAAAAGTGGTGTTTTTTTTTAAAACTTATTAAAAATTGATGATTAAACCAGATTTTTGGAAAAATATATATTTTTTTTCCGTCATTTTCCCTTTATGTATGAATCAAATTTGTGGTTGCATCTTTCTTAATAAATTAGAAGATCATTAAACACTAATTGTGAGTATGATGTAGGGGGTGTTTGGCTTAGCTTTTTAAAGGCCAAAAGTCATTTTCCAAAAAATTACAAAAAGTCAGGTTTTCCTAATTTTTCCAAAAAGTTGTTTTTTCTTCTATCCAAAATCCAAAAGTTGATTTTAAAAGTCTTTTACCAAACATCTTTTGGCTTTGATCTTTTACTAAAAGTTCTTTTGGCATATGAAAAACTAAACCAAACACCCCCGTAATTTTAGGTTAAAACTGAACCGCAAAGCAAATGCATCGGTTTTTGTAATCTTAAATCTGTGATGTAAGATCTTACAAATGGTGTGGTTTCTTGTATTGTGGTTTTGGTTTCAAAGCACATAATAAAATGATGTGGTTTTCTATTGTAGTGTGGTTTTAAACTACAAGAGACCAAAATGAAATATTTTTCCCATTAAAATTATAGCCTTCAGCACTTTTAACCAATACACCTTAGCCAAGAAACATGAAGCAATTTTTTTGCCCAATCAAAAGTTTGGTGAAATCATAGTCTTCATCCACAAGCACAATCATAAGCAAGACTCTTGTGACAAAGAAGGATTGAATCAAAGATGTTTTAGTTTAGTTAAAGTCAAATAAATATCAATTAACTAATAATATTATAAATTTGTTAATATATAGTATCATTATTTAACATATATGTAAATATAATTATGCAATTCTGTTTTTGAGGATCAGTTTCTAAGATAAAACCACACCAAACCAACTTCGTTCTATTTTGACAAATTAAAAACCGCAACCTAAGTTTTTGCAACGGTTTCGAGGTATCAATTTCAATTTGCTGCATTTTTTTTTTGGTTTTTTAATCGGTTTGGTTTTTGCTCACCTCTATTAAACACCTTCCCTCACAAGGTGCACTTTTAACACATTTTTATATCATAAATGATGTTTCTTATCAATTATGACAAGATCAAAATATTGCAAAATAAAATATTTTACTCCATCATAATAAGGGACTTTCACACTTAACTAAACAAAATTTTTCAAAATGAATGACATTGTCAATGCTTCAATGAATCATTGAGCTTGAGTGTTGAATTTTTAATGATTGAAATTGAATAATCAACAAAAGACTTCTAGTCCAACAGTATCAAATATTGCCCTTCCTTCTTGAGGTTAGGAATATAAATCCACTGGACATAGATGAAATTAAGGAGTAGTTTACGAATAGATTAGATTTGTTGTTTAAAAAATTGAATCAAATGATGGGAAGACATCGAGACACAAGAAGTTACAATGAATAAATGGACATTCACGACTACTAAATCGTTAACGATATCAAGGCTTGTAAGAACGCTAGAAAAGAAAGAGTGGTGTTTTAATATGATTAGATAGGAAATCGATGTTAAAAATGACATCCATATTTCTTTAGTTATACCGAAAGCCAATTTAAGTAAGATCTTTGTTCAAGCAAGAAGATCACTTTCCTTGCTATCAAGATATTGTGTTTATATCCCCCATATTGAGCATGAGCCACGAGTGGCGGTTACACTCTCAAAATCAGTGAATAATCAATCATACAACATCCAAGCATTCCTACTTCATCCAAGATATCAAGTATACACTTCATCTAGCAAAATGAATACTTTTGATTGATATAACCACCTTATCACCTATAAAGTAGTAGACTAAAGAGTTTGAGACAACTCAAAATGCTTGGTTTGGAAAGTCACTTGTGATGAAAAATTTAAAGTTATAGTCTCCTAATATCATATCCTAACAATATCATTATCCACATAGAAAACTAGTGATGCCATCAACCACTACATTCAATTAAACACCTACAATGTCACCCTTCCTACATGTCACTACTATCACAATCTCTAGCCAAAGCACTTCAAGTAGAGCTTTTTTTGTCATAATATTCACATTATATTAAGGTGATGTCTCTCTCTAGCCAAAGCACTTTAAGTAAGAGCTTTTTTTTGTCATAATATTCACATTATATTAAGGTGATGCCTCCCTTTTAGTCGATGGACTTAATGGGTGCAAGACTTTATCCAAATATGGTTGTTTATTTTTTAACTAATATATAAAGAACAACCATATCGAGAAAGACTATGAGATTTCCCTCGTTAAGTCCTAATCTTTTTTTATATAAAATTTCTCTCTAACTACGCCAAGTGTGTCGTCATTTTTTCATATTTTTTAAACATCATTTACCTAGACAATATTTTCACTATACAACACTTAATAAAAAAAAGGAAAAAGGCCTTAGGTAGATCCAAAACTAGGGATTTTAACAATGTATAATATAGAATGAGGTCTCCTCTTAAATCTCAACAAACGATATACTTTCCTCACGTAACCTATAACTGATGGTTCTCGATAAATAGCTAATTTAATTCTTATGATATCCTTTTTAAGCACTTATGGTTATGCAAATGGGCCATTCTTCCAACAACACCTCAACTAGCCCACACAGCCTCACTTTAAGAGCATTATGTGAAATGTAAATCACGTAAAAAAAAAGTCCACTACATGATTGACATAAGAGCCCAATCCTATACGAAGCCCAAATTCACATTAGAATCGGATCTCCAACACTAACCCTTCCTTGTTTATGCAAAGATAGCACTAGAGAATCATATGCTACCCCATAGGCTTTCAAGAACTTATGCTTAAACCATGAACTTTGTCCATTCGGCTCCTATAGCCAAAAGTTTTTAGAACTAAAATTTCAAAATCCAACACATTAAAATCAAAATCAAAATAGGTCCACTATAAAACCATGGCATACCATAGGCATTGGGTGTATAGCAAGCAAGACTATGAAGCTTGATTTATGGACCTTAAAGGAAAAATGATTCTATCCAAAGTTATATCCACCTTAACTATAGATCCCCCTAATATGATTTTATTTGGGGCAAAATATAATATTAAAGGCAAAAGTAAACAAGAGAATTAGAGAAGGAAGAAAAACATTACTGGTGAGAAAAACCGAACTTCTGCAAAAAGATTCCCCTCAGCTTTATATATATATATATATATATTCATCTTCTTCCACTTAAGTAACCAACCTTTCCAATTTTAGAAGTGTTCCCTTTCCCTACACCATCAACCTGAGCCCTCTTTCGTGACCCTTTAGAACAAGGTGTTGTCTTTTTCTCTTTCTCTTCTTCTTCTTCTTCATCATCATCATCATCATCATCTGTGTCTACTGTTCCAGTTCTTGACCTAGTTTTTGCACTTATGCGTCTAGGGAGGTATACATTGAAGTAATAGCTGGCTATGTTTTTCCATGACTTTGATTGAAAAGATTCTAATGCAAGTTTTATAAAGTTATTATTACCTTCAGAAATCGGATTCCTTTTCACAATCTGAATAAACTTCTGCTGCTCTGAGTACTTCCATAGCTTGGCAACAGCTTCTCCCATCTCATCAAACTTCCATTTATGGAAAGCGGGTCCCAGATCTTTTTGAAGACGCGTTCTTTTTAAAGCAATGTGGCGTTTAACACATGAAATGGCTCCTGGGGAATGACAATCACAGTTTTCGGGTCTCCCTTTCCCGATTTCTGCTTCTGGTGTTGTTTCTTTGTTTGACCAAATCACAGTGCCTAAATACTTTGATGATGTTGACTTTGTGAGACTTTTGTGGGGGTATTTTCTTTGAGGTGGGCCGGTCCACTCTGCCACATCAGCTTGAAAACGTGGCCCAATTGGGATTGCTAATTTTTTGTTTTCATCAAGAACATCATTGAACCAATCGTTTTGATGCTTCTGACTCCTTTTATTAACCTGTTTTGGCTTCTTCATGGTTCAATAACCTCGGATCAACGCATCACAAATTTACAATATCGCCCTTTTACTGATCTGAAACAGAATAATATACACCTTTGTTTCATAAATCATAATGTTGTAGTGAATGATACTAGAATGTAATAAAACATAAAGAAGGTGGCATGAAACTATTCAACTATTCAACAATGTGATCCAATAAAAAAAAATGATCTCATAAGTCATTAGAAATTTGTTTTCCACATTAATATAAATTGAAATATTACATCCATGTTTATGATGTTATGTTGGTGAGGGCTATAAGTATATATATAAATATATGCTTAGAGAATGGCACAAATGATTTCCAAAATGAAACATATTATTTCCAAATAGATGGTGAGCCTCTCTATATTTATCTTCCTTTTTGGCAATCTAAGAAACTTGGAGCATTTCCCTCTTTCCATCTTCCCTTTTGGCCATTTCAGTTCATCAAAAAGAAAAAAGAAACATAATATTCATGGATTCCCAAAAACAGATGAGTTTCAACTTTGAAGGAAGAGGAAAAGGTAATAGTATAGGTAGATTCTTGAGACTACTTATGAAGTTGTAGATGAGCAAATAGAATAGGTAAATAGTAAAATCACATCCAATCATAAAAAAGAGGGACGAATTCTTCACGACATGATAAACCAGAGAGTTAGGTTGTTTGATGATGACACATACCAATTAAAAGCCTAAACCATGGCCAAATTCATAACAGTAACATACAAGCAAAAGGGCTGTAAGTGGAAAAGACGTGAATGCCCTTCTAAACTCACACCTACAAAGCTGTGTTTGTTACACAGGGCTATTTTCATGATGAGGAGGAGGATAAAAAGGGCATTCACGTCTTTTACACAAACAAAAGTTCAAGAGCGAGTCTATGTCCCACCTTTTTTATCTACAATACTTCAATAACAGAATTTTATCTCAGACATTGACTGAAAAAATAACAGGGGGTGTGGATTATAAATCTTAACAAAAAGCATCTAAAAACCAGAGAACAGACATAACGTGATTAGGTTAAAATTTCCAACAATAGGAACCTATAAACTAGATAATAGACAGAAAGGAATATCCGATTAATAACTACAAATGAATTAATATGTGAGAGGCTATTATTTCACCTAAAGTATAATAAATTTGTGGGAAATCCAATTATTTGCTTTTCTTTTGACTTACACAAAAAAGAATATGTATCTTATGTGAGAGAACATGTACTTTCAAACTAGGGTCAGTTATCCCCTAACATTTACAAGTACAAACACAACATCAGCTTCACAAATCACAATGTTTATGTCATTCATCACGTTCTCTCAGAAGAAGAAAAATAGCGTATTAGATACCTAATTGAAGATGAGAAATACTCAGACTAAAATTAGCACCGATTATTCCGCAGACAACAGATTAATTAAGGAAATGGGGGAATTTTAATTAAGATAAGAGATCTATCACCTTAATAACAAGCAGAAATCGTCGCTTAAAATCGAATTCGTTGCTAAATCTCGAACTAAACTCTGCTGGGCTGCAAAATCGTTCTATAGTCTGCGATTAAGCTTCCAGTCTCAAAAGTATTCTTCGCCGCAGATCTAGGGAGTATAATTTCTATAGTTGATGCTAATTCAACTTTTCTTTTTCAAATATTGTTCACATTAATTTGTCTTGGATTATGATTTAACCATGCTTGATCGAAAAGTAAAAATCGAAAGAAGAGATGTTGATGAAGAAGATCGAGAACTCCGCCTGCTAGTGACGGTAAGGCAATGTTAGCGACGGAGGAATTTTTCCATTTTTTCTTTGCAATGAAAAATTGGGGTGAGGATTGACAAAAGTTAGGGTTGAAAACTTCAACCCCAAATTTTAATATTTTGGAGTTGTCAAACACTACCTATAGTGGCTCTTTTATTAGACTATTTTATTGGGAAGTCTAGATTTAGGGTATTTGGTAAAAAGAAGATAAAATTGCAGAAATGGTCCTTGAGACCGGCAAAATTATATAGTTTTGGTTCAAAATGAAATGTTGGTGCACCATTGATCCAATTTTGGATACCTTGTGTGGTTTTGGTCCCTATGGTTATATATATATATATATATATATATATATATATATATATATATATATATATATATATATTGTGCTTTTGGTCCACATCCCACCTAAAATGACTAATATGCCCCTTAAATAACTATATTTTATTTTATTTTACTTATTTTCTTATTCTTATAATAAAATAAAAAACAAAAACAAAATAAACTCACCACATACACACTCTCTCTCTCTCTTTATCTCTCTCTCTCTAAATCTTTATCTGCCATGAACAATGGGCTATGGTGGTGCGTCAGTGAGCCACCAAGACAACAGCCTCATCTCTCATACTTCTCTTCTCCTCCTGTCAAGCAAACTCCATCGAACCCCCACCTACTTGCCTTGTTCCACCGGACCATTCTTCTGTCCACATTCCCTTCGAGTTTCATCGTTAGATGCCACCTCCGTTCTTCTTTCTTTGAGTGATCCAAGGTCGTTGCTTTGCATCTCTCGGATCGTTGCCGAAGACGAGGAAGAAAAAGCCACGAAGGGTCATCGGTCTCAAAGAAATGCTTCATCCCTCTCGACAGAAGGACCTCTGCCTTGTTTCCCTTCTTCCTCACAATGAACACATCGAGCCCTCATGTTCTTTTCAAATCGCCTCGTGCGATTGCTTTGTCCATCCTCTCTTTATCCTGATTAAAACAAGAGACGGGGACTTATGAGCCCTAATTTCATTAAGCTCCATTCTAGCACCTACAACCTTATTCCATCAAAGGTTCAAATCTGCATTAGAAAAATCTCAATCCTCCGGCCACAACGAGATCTGAAAACTCTAGATCCGACGATAAGTCCGACGATATTTGGGTTTCAAATCAAATAAGGAGAGGCGTGATTACAAAAGGATGGAGGCAAGCAGTGAACAAATGGTGTGGTGAATAATGGATGGGTGTGATTGTGAATGATACCTCCAACGAGATTCGAGTTGCAGTTATGGATTTCAAAGTTTTTCTTCGGAAAGAGGTGCATGTGGTGTTCTGAAAAGGTAGAAGTGGTCGGAGAAGATTGTGGTGTCGGTGGTTCTGATAAAGGACTTCTGGTGGGTCAAAGCTTTTCGCTGGAGAGAGAGAGAGAGAGAGAGGTGTTTTTTGGCATTGAGAAGTATAGAGGTTGAATCCTACAGTGGAAAGGGTACATGCGAAGGGAGGTGGAAGTTGTAAAGAGATGATGAAAGAGAAAGTCATGATAGTCGGTGTTAATGGTGACGAACGGTAGCGTCAATCGGTGGTGATAGTGGTAGTAGTCGCTAGTGATGATGGTGCCAGTTGATGGAGATGGGTTTTGTGTTCTTGAGTTTTCATTAAATACAAACAGAGAGAGATAGAGAGAGAGATAGAGACAGAGAGAGAGAGAGAGAGAGGTTGGTGGACATTTTTCTCATTTTAAATTAATTAAAAACATTTATATAAATACAAAAAAAAATTAAAGAACAAATATAAGGGGCATTAAGGTCATTTTAAATGTATAAGGACCAAAAACAATAAAAATATCCAATTTTGGACCAGTGGTGCACCAACATTTCATTTTTAGACCAAATCCACATAATTTTGCCAACCAAAGGGACCATTTTTGCAATTTTTTCCAAAAAGTAAGCTTATGGTTTACTAGATTATACAAAAATGCAAAAATGTCATTATGGTATGTATTTTTTTCTGATGTTTAATCTAATGTTTTTTGGCTTCGTGATCCTTTTGAGTTAGTTTTATTGCGCTTTTGGTCTCTCAGTAAACTTAAATGATTGTAATACCCTTGGAGTATTTATTTCTATTTTTCTTTCATTTTTTTAAAGTTAATACTTATTTATTTATTTAAAATTTTAAAAAATAAGAGGGTCATCTTCTCTCTCTCTCTCTCTCCCTCTCTCTCTCTCTCTCATATTTGGGTTTGTCTTTCAAGAACTCAATAAAAATTGATGAACACCAATACACAGTTAAGAACATACGTATCTTCATACACTCATCAAATTTTCTGGACTTCTTCTTCAAAACACACCTACACTTATGAACATAGATACTCAAGAAAAACACACATAAGATTTTCTAAACATACACGCACACATACATACGCTTATGAACATACATACTCAAGAACAACACACATCCGGAGGCGGGGGGGGGGGGGGGGTCCAAATCTCCGTTAGGATCCGCTGACTATCTTCATCGATTTTCCGACGAAAAGGGTTTCCATATCTGCAAACGAGATCTTTAACTCCAGCATCATCTCCACCAAAAAAGACGAACCTTGAGCTTGTTATCGCTACCAGATCTACAAACAATATCCCTTTATCTAAAAACAGGATCCACGGAGAAGACGAACCAAGATCTGAAGATTTAGGGTTTTTTGGATGTGAAATCTGAGCCTCTAGGGTTTTTTTTGTGATCACCGCTAAAATCACAAAGCTAAAATCACAAGACCTATTTGGCAATTTCTCACATTCTCTTCCTCCATCTCTTACCCCCGCCTCACCCACCGTCACACCATCAGATACCCCACCATCCTCAAAATCACCTCCATTAGAGACAAACGTTCAAATTGTTCCATAGTCACCCGACATTCTAAGGCTACCGAAAAAGATTCAACATATAAATCTGAATTCTCTGACGAACTATAAAGAATCTGATAAACTATGCACCAGTGTGTAATCCGATTCCTGAGGGCTTTATTTGGTATAAGCTTTTTATGAAGAAGTTGTCCATATTTTAGATGTGAACAATGGTCATCTTCAATTCATCTTGAAAGAAAAAGTAAACAGAGGTGAAGTGTTCTTGGGTTAAAAGAAAACCCAAAAAGAAAAAATGTATAGTGGTAGGTATACAAAGAGAGAGAGAGAGAGAGAGAGAGAGAGAGAGAGAGAAAGATAGAGACTATTGCTTTTTAATTTGTTAAATAAATAAATAAGTACTAGAATTAA